TTGCAGATACGTGTGAAACCGTAGCTCTTGGATCATAAACAATATTAGTCTCATTCCAGTATTCTACTAATGTGACTTAGTTTTACTAATCACACTACACTAATTAAATTCTTATGTTACGGATTATAGGAAGTTTAACCTTTTTTTTTTTTTTTAAATTGGGAAAGCCTCATGATGGGAAAGCACGTGCACACATGATTTCTCAGGAGACTAAGTAGTCTATTATATTGTATGAATATATATCTACTCACCCTTGCCTCCTCTTCCCCCTCCTTTCCTCTGCAGAGGGTTTCAGATATATTAGAGAATCACTTAGTTTCATAAACTGGGTTATGAAAGGCGGTGGGGGTGCTGCATGTGTGGCAAGGTAGGTCATAGAGGATTTATACGCAGCGCTGCGTGTGTCCTGCCGGTTCCTCGGTGTGCGTGAGCTGTGTGGCTATGGCTGGCGTTTCTTGCCTCTCTGTGCCTCATCATCTGTAAAGGCTCAAACTAGGACACTAGGATAAATTTTAGTTCTGTGACAGGGATGTTAAAGCTTGACTTAGGCTGCAAGTGCTTCGTGGTGTTTCTAAGACGATTTGGAAAGTTAAATACTTTTTTGTAAAATACATCAGCATTAGTCTGAAAGACTTTAAGCTAAAGAAAAACATCCTTGTTAGCTGGAAAGCTCTCTGCGTTCCCCTCTGTCTTAGTTGCCTGAAAAGCTGGATGGAACAGGAGGGAAAAGACAGCTCTTGAGCGCGCTGTGTCGGTTGTCCGGAAGCTCTTAAAAGACCCTTTTTCGGCTTTTGAAAATAAACCTTGGGAAGGTTAAACAGAGTAGGGTTGGGACGCGGCAGCCCTTTAGAGGTCTTTCTGTTCAAAGATGAAAGCGTTTCAAGGAGCACGCTTGGAGCAGCTTGCTCTTGTCTCTGGGGTGCTCTTGAGCAGGGTTGTGGGGAGAGGGATGGCCGGCAGCGGCGTCTATTCTGCAGCAGTCGTGTTCCCTCTGTCAGAAGTTTCAGAAGTACAGAAGAACAAGGAAGCGAGGCAGGAGCACTAAGATATTCAGGACTTGGAGCACAGCTTAGGAATACGGTATGAAGAGACGTCCAATACCCTTGCAGTGTACAGGTTTGAACATCATCATTTCCATTACTGATCTAGTTTTCTTCAAGAGCGCGTGTGTGAACAAACTGAACAAGGTGAACAGCTCTGTTCTCAGCGGGGGCTTGTTTTTGGTTTGGTTTGGTTTGTTTTTTGTCTATGAGGAGACTGCAGTATGGCCCAGAAGTAGAGATTTAAGTTACAACTGAAATTTTCCGGGCAGCCTTTATTGCACGCTGAAATTCAAGCAACCTTTCGCTCTGGGGAGTTCCTCTCTGCCCCACCCACCAGCCCAAGCAGCCGGTGATCCCCAGACAAGGTTTATTAAGCTCTGAGGGGAAGTAAGTTATTTGCACAGGACAGCCGCTCACCATGGTCTCCTTTTTCTGTTTACAAAGAAGTAACTTAATACATCTTTGCCTGGTCCTGCTTGTTTGGTTTGGGATTTGTTGCGGTTGCGAGATGCCACTGACGGCCTCCGTATTGCTGATAGACGGATGGTCAGAAGGACGGACCGTGGCTGTAGCGAGGTGCTCTCTGGCTCCAGCTCCTGTCTGGGGACCTTTTTCCGGCTTAGCTTTTGTGATGCTGATGAATAGTTGGTTCAGAACTGCACCGTTCTTTTACTTGGGGCCACACAGTTTCTCAAATAGATGGGTGGCGTTAAAAATTGGTTCACTCTTAAACTGTTAATTTTGATTCGAAGGAAAAGAAAGAAGCGAACCCAAACCCTATTGCATCAGTTTTCAAACACTGTTTAATTTTTTTCTCAATTTTTTTGAAAATTATGTGTTACTGATAAGCTGGTAGAGGCTGGTTAGTTTATTTTGAATTCTTTTTACAGCAGCACACTGAGTTAAATTCTATGTAAGCTACAGCAATCTAGAGAGAACAATATATTGCACAAAGCACTTAAATTTGTCCTTAAAATATTTTACATTTATTCTGAGTTGAAAAGCCTCTGCTGGTTTTGGTATTGCAAAATCATCAATATCCTTTCAGAAACTGTGCTTTCTTGTTAAAATAGTTAAAATAAAACGGTTTACAAGATCAGGAACTCTTTTGACTTTTTATTTTCACTTTAAAAAAAAGTCTCTGCCATATATTTTGCAGCTATTTCCTAGAGAGATGTTGGGTACAGCAAGTGGTGCTTTGATTACTTTTTGGTTTTAGCACAGCTTTTTTCCCCCATCCTCCAATTTAAAAAAAAGCCCTCAAAGAAATGATGAATTTAAGGGTGATAAAGCACAGGTGTATCACTAAACACATGAAGGTGAAGGAAGATACCTCAAAATCTGAGTGTACAGTGATATGTTGTGGAAATAACGATTAAACTGGAGTCTCAGAAAGTCAAAATCTTCTGGACAGACTGGGAGCAATCAGAAGACCAACTTAATTTCACTTTTAGTTGTTACTGTTCCTCTTCTATTCTCCTGGATTATTCTGACCGCATACTGAAATTATGCTGATTAGTCTGCAATGTCTGTGAAATAGTTTTATGATTTTTCCTTTGGGTGCCGCAGGTAAAAAATTAATCCAAGCTCTTCAGATGCTTTTAGCTGAACTATCTCCAGTTTTTCTTCTTAATGTCGTGGTGGCAATTTTTTCGTCTTTATTTAGCAGGAGCTCCTTTGCAATTGTAATTTCTGCTGAATGCAGTGGACCCTTTGTGGATTTTTAGATTTTTTTTGTTTGTTTTGTTTAAACACTCAGCCCAGTGCAAAAGATCTAGAGATACAGTATGACTGTGTCATCAGAACTGCTTCTGGGCTGTCCTGAAGCGGCTGGGGTGCCACTGTCTAAACTGAGGGCACGTCGTGTCCCTCTGGGCAGAGGGGTCTGTGCCGGGCAGAGCCCCGCTCCGGCTGCCCCGCGCCAAGCGCTCCGGTTGCTGTTGCATGCTCTTTGCTGAAACACGTGTGGATAAAAGCGCCTGTGATTGAGGAGCACCTGTCTGTAGTTGGAAATTGGGGGAAAAAAAAAAAAAAAAAGGTTTGTTTTTATGAATAAATAAACATAAAATCAGTCTGCCTCAGATGTTGGTTCTCTTTCATTTCCGTGCGTGAGGAATGCCAAGCATGCTTGTGCTGTGTGAGAGGGATGCCTGGGCTTCAAGTGGTATCGCTGCTCTTGCAGAGGAGCCAAGTAAAGAAACCTCCTTGGCTACTTCATAATCTCCTGTTCTGCTGCAGTCACATTGCCTGCGTTGAGAGCCAGAGAAATCGTTCCATAATGTTTTCTGTTACTTTTCCTCCCTTTCTCTCCTTGGGGAAAAAAGGGAGTGTCAGTCTTGTTGCTCTCTGTGTGCTTAGAGAACAAACTTGTCATTGATTAATATTGACTAATATAAAAGGAGTTATACTTCCTGCTTCCGAAAATGATCTACAGTCCACAGAATTTCTTTTTCTGGCATTTTCTCCTCTTCATCCTTTCCAGTTCTCCTTGCCAAAAGTATAAATGTATTTTTAAAGCCCTCAACATGCTCTAGTACTCGTAAGACTTGTAAGTGGCCCTCGGATGCTGCCACTTAAATTTTTACGTGGTTGTTGTTATATGTTTTTAAACTATGTTACTTTTTAAAGTAACAAAAAGTAAAAAATATATTTCTGAGATATCTGAAACTAAACAGCAGTTTCAGATATCTCAGAAATCCATCCACGCAGTCCTGTCCCTTGGTCTTGGAGAGACCAAGCCTGTGTAGCTCTTCGGATCTCTAATCGTCGCAGTGACTCTTCCAGAGTTGTTTCACATGTCTGTAATGTATAGAGCCAGCTTTGTAGCTAAAAATAATTTGTTCTTATATGGATGTTAATTTTTCTCTGGCTTCCCTCACTGTAATAGTCAGGACTGAAGCATGATGTGGCTTCATACAGTGAGATATGGCAGAGGATGTAGTCGTTATTCAGATGGCTGGTGAGAGCACGAAGTCATTAGCGAAAGGGAGCACTCTGCTGTCAAATCTTCTATCGCAGCTACTGCACTCTACCACTGTAATTATATTTTTCAAATGCAAATGATAGCTTTAAGAATTCTTTCTTTGGTATATCATTTACAGGAGCAGTTCCGTTTGTGTTTCTCCGTCAGAGACAAAACTTATCAGAGGCTAAGGACAGGAGAGTGTAATCTCTTAGGTTTATTCCCTTTTATCAGAAGGTGTTTATTGGTTGGAAGTAGGGCCAACTGTAGAGTTATATGAGGAGGCTTTCTCAGCAAACAATATTTTGCTGGCAAAGTTGCTGTTGCTGTTTCTCATACAAGGGAAGCAACCGTTGTGTAGCAGGAGAGGAACGCCGGAGCTGTGGCAGGGAGGAGACCTGCAGAGCCTTTCTGTTGAGCAATGTTGCTTCATTCTTCCCGGCTACTCTGCGTTTCGACTTGCTAAGAAATCTGGCAGTGCCCTAGATTTAATTTTATTGTTGTTCTTTGAGATACAGAAATGCAGGTTGTGTCACATTTGAGAAGTAGGAAAAGCTTGGCCTCGTCATCTGCAAATCGCAATTCTTATATTCAGAGAAAACATTCTCTTTTTTTTTTGTAATTTATATATGCCTTAGTGCACGTACATCAATAACTTCCATACTTTCGCCTTTAACATGTATTGTTATTTGGCATTGTGTTTAATGGTCGCTGACCTTGAGAGATTACATCCCACAAACCTGCCAAATTCCCAGCTACGGTACAGGTGTACTGTCAGGTTTTCTTAAAAATTTCTGTCTTCATGCCAAGTAAAATTTGGTATTCCAAATTATTGATGTTCAGCTATTGATGGATTTTTTTTTTTCCTTTTCTTCCAAATCCTCTGTTTTTCCAGGTATGAAGATGAATAGTGCAGAACACTGGTTTCGATGATGCTGGGCTTTTATAACTGGATTCATTAAGGAATACAAAGAAAACTCTTACAGGGATCAATAATGGTGTCTTCTGGCTGCAGAATGCGAAGTTTTTGGTTTCTGCTCATTATTAGCTTCCTGCAGTGTACCGAAGGTAAGCTTCAGTTCACTTTTTTTGCTGGAGTTTGCAGATGAGGTAAACGCTCTGTACAATTAGTTCCCGTTAGATGATTTGAAGATTTAGGATGTCGAAGTAAAAGTACCTGTAGTGTGTTCCAGGTGGAATTTATAAGATTCAAATTATCTTTTTTAATTAAAAAGGGAAATACATGTTTTGGTGTGTTGAAACTGACACGTAGTGTGCAGGCAACTGAAGGGACAGTATTAATATCCTTGGTTCATAGTGGCCTTATTTTTGTTCTCTTCCTATTTATTCGTCTTTTTTTCTGTTCTCATTGTACAACCGTTTAGAAGCAATGTGTAGATATGGTAAACATGATATAAAACAACTAAACGGTGCAATTGGAATACCTATTTTAATTTTTCTAATTTGGCTGGCTGAAAATAAAATGACACTTCATTAAGATTAGAATTACGCAAGTTAAATTTCAGGAAATAAAATTCCAAGTGCATACAGAAATAGCATCTACTTAAAAATATTTTTGCTTTTTTTTTGAAAAGGGAAAAATGCTTCGCTGCTATCAAATGTGGTGTTTAAAATCTTAAAGAAGTGAAGAAATAAAAAGCTTTTAAGAAAATTTGTATCTTTTTTCATAAATTCTATTTTATCTGGTTAGTCTGTGTCTCCAGCTGTTCTCGTGGCCCTTTTGGTAGACATAGAAGCACAAATGAATGATCAGGAAAGCATGGTTTATGAATTTTTAGTTATAAATATTTGTGTAGAACTTGAGGCTATTTCTGGGTGTGATCATTTGGATTGACTAGATCAGAGGTGAAAAGACTGGTTTAGTAATAAACTAGCACCTCCGTGCCTTATTACATTATTCAGGAATTGGTATATAATACATAGGCTTCCTTGGTGCATCTGTGGTGTGATCTCACCATTTTTGTAAGGAAGATACGTACCTTACCCTGTCAAAATTCTTTGAATGTGAAGGCTAAATTTTCAGAGATAATTCACAAAAGCTGCTCTGCTTCCCCCTTTCTTCTTTCCCAGATCTACCTATCTGTCTGTCTGTCTGTCCAACAAGGAGGATCTAGTCCCCAAAAATGACAGACCTCAAGATTAAAAATTTAAATACTGTATATGGTCTTCCATGTCCACTGCATAATACTTAAACATTTATTCGAGACTCGCACACCTCGGATCTTGCGCTGTACTGACAGACAAGCTTTGCTGAAGTAGGTGGTTCGTGCCTAAGTGTGAACATACACATCCATCAGGGGAGGGTGGCTTCGTGGAGCTTCCAGAGCTGGGGGAAGTCCCATTTCACTGAAATAGCTTTCACAGTCAGGTTCCCCTCCCTCCCGTCTTTCTTCTTAAATATTGCCAGGCTGTATTAGCAAACTGCCGTTTCTCACGGCGTGCTGGAGATCTCGGCTGTTCCATCGCTGGGGGGATTTCTGGTTTGGTAGCTGCCGCACTGACCGCTCTCTTGGTGGCTGTCGAGTCTGGGGACTTGAGTACAATGGCACTTTCATAGGAAAGTAAGTGCCAGCAGCTGGAAGGTAAAATGCTTTTCAGCTTCTTTCCCAGGTAAGGAAGGTAAATGTGTATAAGGAGAATGGAATTACAAATCTTACGTCTGGCTGGTTAGGTGATGACTTGTGTTAATTATGAATGCACTTACATTGCAGAAGTAGTTGCAGTAGTTGAAACTAAAGGTGTATGAAGTAGAGGCATCTATTTATGGTTTGGTTTTTTTTCCCTAAAGTTTAAAAATATTAAGGATTTTATTATTGTAATTGTTTCAAATCCCTATACTTAGTACATTTTTACAAAGATTCACATACTTGCAGTTTAATGTTATGTAGTGGTGGAAAACATTTGAAAACAAAGGAAAAGCAGACAAACAGCTTTCTCTGGTTTGGCCACTATAGCGAACAACGTGCTGCAAAGAGTTTTATCTGCTGAGTTTGGAAAGGAAAAAGTCAACTGAGAACTTCTGCAGATTGAATTTTTGCCATTTGCAGAAAGCTGATTTTCATTGTCATCTGTAATATTTCAAGTTCATTTTGTTCTGTCCCTGTTTTTCTTGCTTTTAGTAGCCAGTAGCAATCTTTTGATGCTTCAGCTGTGAATTTACTTTTTAAAAATCTATACAAGAGCTGCTTTTTCAGCTATAAGAAACAGGGAAGGAAATTGGGAGCAGATAACAGAATCATACCAAATTAATTGTAAATTCTTAAAATAAATGAAATATTGTGGCTCTGTATACTGGAAGTGAATATTAATATAGAGTTGGCTTCCAGCCACAGAAGCAAAATGAATACCGCATTATTACACTTTCTCACAAGATTACATTGCCTTCTGCTTCAGTAATAAGAGATGCCAAGTGTAACGTGCTTTAGTAGCACTTCATGCCTGGAAGTATGAACATGAACAAAGGTTAAAATAAGAGCATCTAACTTTTGCTGGAAATAAGAAAATCTTTATTTCCCTCACTTGGAACTTTTTTTTTTTAATAGAAATCTTAATATATATGGAGATGGGGGATGTGAAACCTGGCTGTAGTCCCTGCTGTTGTGTTTTAGTGTTTCTTTACAGTTGGAGAGAGAGAGAAAGAGAGAGGGTGGAAAAAAAAAAAAATGCTGGGTATGGACAAGTCGTTCATTTGTTCATATAATGAAACATTTTCTAATCAAGATAAAGACTTCATTACTCGCTCAGTGCCTTAACTTGAACTCAGTAGGGAATTACCAAGCAGGCACAGTTGTACAAGGGCTGCAATTTGATTTTAATGTCACCTATCCAAATAGGAGTCGTATCTTCAGTTAACAAGGTCTTGGTTTTGCTTGGTTTGTCCTGGTTAGCACAGGTCAGGTGGGGCTGCTTTTGAAGCAGTCGGTTCCTTCAGGTAAAATGAACTTGGAACAGACAGGTGCTGGAGGGGAAACCCTCACCAGGTTATTATACCCACGGCTGGTGCACTGATCAACGACAGGTCAGGATTGTTGTGAAGAGGCTCGAAAAGCATTGTTAGCACCATCAACAGCAAGCACTGCAGCCCTACACGAGGAAAAGATGAGAGACAGCAAATAAGAATGAAACGGCAAAGTCATGAGCTTGAGTATTAATGTCATTTTCAAAGGTATTTTTTTGCCCCATTCTTTAGCATATTCTACTCTGTGTATTTTTAAAACCGCAGTTTTATTACAAAAGACGGACTGAAAGAGCTACCTTGGAGAGGAGCCTGAAGAGGAGCTGGGCGGGCGGCTCTATAAGACCGGCCTCGTACCGGGGCTGATGCTGGGGGCGCGGGAGCTCCCACTGCGCCTGTGCCCGAGTCGATCCCCGAGTCGGTCCCGGTTCCGCGCCATCCGGCTCTTCTGGTCTCACGGAAGGAGCGGGTTCGTGCTCCTGTCAGTCCCGAGCCTTTACTTACCCGTTTCCTCCAAACCCTTGGAAATGAATTATTTTCAACACCACCTCTTTTTTCTCTTTATTTTTTTTTCTTCCCTTCCTAATTAGGTGAAATCATCCAGCAAGTTAAAAATGATCTGAGAAAATACAGAAAGTAAGAGAGTGAGATCACACATGCCTTGTTTCCATAGCAAAGCAGAGTAAAAAGCTTATTATGCATATTATTGGTTTCTCTTCAAGCAAGTTAAGACAGATACACTAATATGCATATGAAAAAAAAAAGATGTCAGAGCTAAACATTCTGATTAAAATTGGTTTTTAAAAGGACTGCACGTTTTGGTATTTTAAGCTTTATTTTGCTTACAAGTCCACCTTTTTCAGCTGGCCTTTTGATGCCTTTTGTTTTTATTCTCTTCTTTTGCTTGAGAAGCACAAGTGCTTGGGAAGCACTGAAATAATTTTCTTTGCTTCTGTTTTATTTTAATCAAGGTTCAATACAGTTTTAATTCATTTTATTATCAATATATACACTTTGTCCAAAGAAGAAGCATCATGCTTTCCTTATCTCTTTAATTCTGTTTTCCTAAAAGGCAGTAATGTTTGTTTTTGTTTTTAAATGCAGGCTATCTTTGCCTATGAATGTATATTTTAATTAACATTACACTAAGAAATACACATTTCTGTAAATTCCCCTTATGCTAGCCAAGGAGCTGAGTGTAAAATTGGAAGCAGTTTTAAGTGTATATTCAATGTTGATGCTTTTACTGAAGAAATACGTACTAAACACAGATAATGTACATTGAGCCCTTACAAAGGTATTTGCTATTTTAGCGTACTGCTTCAGATCTTCAGCCGCCTGTCAAGACACTCAGAGTGTCAAAGGCATATGGCACAGCTACTCGACAAACTGTAAAACGTGCTGGTTTTCCTACACATTTACTAGGAAATATTAGTAGGATTTTGCCAAGGATAAAAATGAAAATCTTGTATCCTGGACTTGAGAAAAAAATCCAGCTTTTGTTAATTAGCAGATTTAAGTTCTGCAAGGGGTGAAACCCGTTATGGAGTCACGCAAGAGCAAATAGGAGCAGTTATTTAATTTCTAGCCAGGGAATTGATCACCGTGAGAGCTCAGCGAAGCACACAGCTAATACAGGCAGCTCTTTGGTTTAGCCCCCGTAAGCCTGCTACGGCCAGGCGGTTATTGCCCACCCTGTGGAGGTGGGCTCCAATAAGCCCACTGTAATAACTCGAATAAGCCTTTCAATGCCACCTTCATTTTTGTCACGTCTACCTAATGTGTTTTATGCTTTTAGCAAATATTTTCTCTTAATTGGTTAATGCAGATTATGTAGAAGAAAATATCTGTGTGAAGGGAGCAGTTGGATTTCTGCAGAAGGCCACTGCTGCACCGAGTCCTGTTTTCCTTCCCGGAAGGGCGTGCCATTTTTCACTGGGATATTTGCCTGCATGTGTCTCTTGAACATCTCTTTTTCCCTTTTTTTGAGGGAGGTGTGTTGTGGGCCCAGTGTATCTTCTAAAAAGGAAATTGATCTAAACAGTGAGACCAAACAACTTCTTAAAGAAGAGTGTCTGTTAAACTTTTCCAG